TTGCCAACCTGTGCCTAATACTTTGCGGAATTATATAAGCAGGATGTGTCCCTCCAGGGAATGAGTGCATTGGAATAAAAATTACCCCTATCAAGATAATTGATTAGCCTTGATTTCTATATATTGGAAATCAATTTGCAATGGAAAATAGGACACCAATTAAAGATATCTCTTTCACGATTAACTTCATTTAATGTGCCTTCACCTCCCCTCTCGACTCTCTACCCTCTCCTCGCTCCCTCCCTTCCCTCCCCTCACCCTGACCATTTCCCCCCTGCTCGGGTCCCGACCCAACTGTCCAGCGCCTTGGGACGTCCTCCCCACGTGAAAGGCGCTCTATAAATGCAATCTTGTTGTTGTTATTGTTCATTTAATTAACTCTGATCTTAACTCTCTCCTCAAAAACCTCTAATTAATACAAAGTAATCATTCCAGGTTATTAAGAATGCATTTGGAAACTTTTTTGACAAACAATGAATTTATAACCTCAGCATTACAAAAATCTTTCACTGCAATATGATGGATGAAATTAAATCCTTTATAAATAAGGAATGAAAATATTACTATGATTGCTAGGATGACTAGCTACGAGAGCAGGAACAACTCCGAAATCTAAATTCAAAATGGTGCAGATATTATTATTGGCTTATTGTTACATGCTTCAAATTTTGAACTATGTCCAGAGTTATTCACACTAACAAAAAAACAGCTTAGTTTCTTAAGGAAGAAAATAACAGAATTTAATATTTAATAAATATTCTAGTCAAATATTGCTGCAATCAATAAACTTTATATATTGATCCATCCACAAATAATCTTAGAAATAAGAGACAATATATAATATATATATCGCATATCGCACAGGAAGAGGGAATTCTTCATAGGACTAAAATAACATTTAGAATTCTGACCTCTAAAATAGTGTTTTGATGTGAAATAAACAGCAGCTACAGTAGATTGTCAGACCTTGGTTCATGGAATTAATTGATTATTGTGACAAAGGAGAGATCCATTTGTTGTAAATCTGTTCATAAGCATTATATTAGTGCTAGAATCAGAATCGATCAGGAATACAGCAAATAAAGTAAATTCCTCTAAATGGCACGTGATGGGCCAAAACAAACGCATATTGAATCTCTTCAGGACCAATACTGATCTTTCTTATCCGTAGAATAAACTTGATTTTTAAATTGTTTTGATCTATCAATTTAGTAATTCGAAGTTAAGAACTGTGCCTAAAAGCCTTTCAGTCTACAGTGTTACTGTAAACCAGCAGCTTTGTTATTCCGGTCAATGAAGATTTAGTCAGTGTCAGCAAAGGTTCTTTTAAATGAATGATCTCATTTAACCAGGTCACCATAAATTGGCTTGGTATCAGCTTGCACATAAAAATCTATCATTCAGGACCAAATAGTTCAATGCATTGCAAATATGTCGGTTGTTGAGAATAAGTAAGTAAGAATAATAAGGAAGTAGTCTTTTCAAACTCAGCATTGAGACTCATAAAATAGACACGCTGATTATCAGTTTAATTGTCAGCCAAAGATTAAAACATTCATCAACGAAAAGCTTTTTAACTAGATTTCAGTTCTGCTGGTTACACCATACACACAATGAGTGACACAGTAAAGCCAAGTGCCTGAAACAGTAAAGTCATCATTTGCTATTTGATTAGTGACTTTAAAACAATATAATTGCAACAGACCCGTCACACACCTTTCTCACAAAATTCACACAACAGTGTTATTAAGGGCCATTAAGCTTATTTTTTATCAAAAACAGAAGTCGCTGGGAACACTCAGCAGGTCAGGCAGCATCTATGGAGAAAGGAAAGTGAGTCAACGTTTCGGGTCCACGACCCTTCGTCAGACGAAGAATTTCTGACAGTAGTTCTAGTAGTGTGTGCGTGTGTGTGAGTGTGTGTTTTGCATTTATATACTTCCATTGTTAGAAATGAGTTTTGGGATAAACTTTGATTTATTTCCAAATAAATCCCGATTTTAGCAATTTATCAATGTTTTGTGTTCATTTCTTCTTCTCCCTAATTTTTTCACTGCCTTTAAATATTCATCTTCTAATCCAGCATTTCCCAGTCATTCTTCTGAAGCGCAACCCATCTGTTTCTTGGAAAGTTCAGCATTCTGCTAGAACATGCCCAGCACCACATTCTTGGCCTCAATACTCATGTCATCAGTTCAGTGGAATTTGATGGTGAAAGTCCTGACAGCTCCTTGATTTTGCTAGACTGATACTATCTCACCGTAATGTAGGAAATGCCAAGATTTGTTAACAAGCGCTTGTGAAAGAACATGAATGTTATCAAATACAACAACAACAGCAAAAGTACATTTATAGAGCACCTTTCACGTCAGGAGGACGTCCCAAAGCGCTGAAATATTAAATATTAAAATCTTTACAATAGGGACAGGTTCATTTATCTATCGGGTACTATATCTCTCCTCTATCTAATGTGTGTCAACTGTACACATGGAATAGATTATTGGAAGGATTCAACTCTGACAGAACTACCCATGCTGGAAATTATTTCTCTATATAATCGGGGGTGGGGGGGAGGGTGTCGATACGAACCTATGTTTTATTCAGAATTGTTAAGCCTCATTTCCAGTGTCTTCAATTTTCAGGTTTGTTGTGCACACAAAGGTACGCACCCCCCATCTCACACCATGCACTGCAACTTGGCTCCTCAGGGCTGTTGGGGAGAGTCCCCAGATGTTGGGGACCCCCTCCCCCTGGGCCCCTTCTGCTCCAACATTGACGTTTAACAATTCGAGTTCAAAGCTCCTCAAACTCCCCGGCCTATGCCTCAGCCTCATCGAACTGATGCCCAATCTAGGCGTAAGGTTTGATCCAGAGCTGTCCTTCCTTCCTGACATCCGGTCCCTGACAAGGACCGCCTTCCTCCACCTCTGCCATGTTGCCCACCTCCGACTGTACCTTACCCCAAACGCAGCCGAAACACTTGTCCATGCCTTCGTCACTTCCCGACTCGACTTTTCAAATGCTCTCCTCGCCTGTCTCTCCAGCTCCACCATCCACAGTATCCAGCTGATCCAAAACTCCGCCGCCGCATCTTCACCTGCACTAAACTCCAAATCCGATCACACCAGTTCTAGCCCAGTTCCACTGGCTCCCTATCGCTGAATGGATCGATTTCAAGATCCTCACACTCATTTTCAAGTCCCTTCATGCTCTGGTACCTCCCTATCTCTCCGACCTGTTTACCCCCCCAACCTACAACCCGCAGCCTCCGCTCGACTGGCTCCGGCCTCCTGCTTGTCCCTCATGCCTTCTGTTCCACCATCGATGGCCGCGCTTTCAGCCACTAAACCCCAAAACTCCGGACCACTCTTCCTCATTCCATCCGCCTTGTCCCTTCCTTCCCCATCTTCAGGTTGTGCCTGAAGATCTTCCTCTTCGACCGTCCCTACAGTCACCTCCACCTCCCTCTCCTCCCAGCTCAGTGTCATGCTCCGCCACTGTTAAGCGGTCTGGGACACTACCCTGCATAAGGGGCGCTATATAAATGCAAGTTGTTGTTATTATAGCTTTATTTCTGTAACATTATCTATAAACTACAAATATAAATATAGTCATACATACAAACACAACCATCTCTTTAGGCACTTTGCATACGACTGAAGTGAATGATGAATGGATACACGCAAGCACCCAATTGTCAGGAACCTGCATCTATACTGATCCTAATCTAGTAGAATCATTATACACCAACATTTCCACTGGAGTCAACCCAGGTTGAAGCTTGTCAATCTGTGTCTCGATCAAAAATTGATTAAAGCTGTTTACAACAGCCGCAATTATCAGAGTGGCACATATTAACAATAAAACAAAGTAATAGATTGATCACTTCGATCCACGACTGTTTGTGGGACGCTGCTGTGCGCCTTGGCTGCCGCGTTTCGCTCACAAGTATATAGTCAATTCACTTTACAGTATGTTCTGTGAAGCGCATTGAGACGTCTAGAAGATGTGAAAAGCGCAATACCAAATGCAAGGAATATTGTATTATATTATTATAGTATAGTTCAGTCAGCCTCTTGTTGGTTGGGTCATACGCTGATCACCTGCTGTGCATTTCCAACTTCAAGAGGGTGTCAGCCTGGTTCAGTTGGAGGCATTCTTGCCTTATCGTCTGATGGTTGTAGATTAAAGCCCCACATTGGGACTTTAAATTGCTATAGTTTAGGCTGACGCTCTTCTGGAGTTCTGGAATGGCCCCGTCTGCCTGTTCAGATTGATGTTATAGATTGCTCAATATACTTGAAAAGACAAGGGTCTTTTGTTGGCTGTACTGGCCAACAATTTCCCCAAATTAAATGTATACGTATATTTAAGCTATAGCTATCTGGATGTATTTAAGAGGAAGCTACTAATACACATGAGGGAGAAGGGAACAGAAGGGAATGGGAGGGTATTATTCCACCCACCACTTCAACTGTGTCTACAGTCACCTCCAACCTCTCCCCAGCTCGGCATCTGTTTCCGCCACTGTTGAGTGCTCCGAGACACTGCCCGGCATGAAGGGTACTATATAAATGCAAGTTGTCGTCGTTGTTTACTTAGCAGTGAGTAGGAACCCGGTTGTTCGTCAATTGGCAGATCGCTTTCTGGGGGTAATAATCCTTCAAAAAAAAATTGGTGACTCAATCCATGACTGTTTGCGGGACACTGCTATGAAGAATTGGCACAAAATACAGTCAGTCCACTTTACAATATATTATGTAAAGCATTTTGAGACATCTCAATCACATGATACGGTGCTACATCAAGGATTATTATATTATTATAATAGCTGGGCCAAATTACTTGATTCTGAGCTCTACAATCAATGTAAATCTTTATAAATTATGGCGGTTTGTGGGACATTGCTGTGTGCAAATTCGCTGCTACTTTCATCTACAAATGTACAGTAGGTAAATACACTTTATAGTAAATCCTGTGAAGCACTTTGAGACATTTCAATGCTGTATTAAATGCAACGTTTATTATGTTTTCATTGTTAGATGTTCAGATTTTTTAAAAAGAAACAGGAGAGAACAACATGAAGAGCTCATGAGATATTGCCACATCTGTTTCAAAAGACCAAAAGCATTCTGTGCCATTATCAAGAATTTCTGATTTTTCATTCTATCATCGCCAATTATTATCTTAATATTTACTCTCTGAGTCCTATAATCAAAACAGCATTAATAATGATCTTGGAGTTGATTTACCCAAATCAATACCTCTGGGTAGAGGTGACTGTAAACTACAGAGTAGTCTTCTGTTCTCTATTGGCTCGTAATTCTCCTTTGCTTAAATTATTTGAGTTGTGATTGTGATTCTTATCGCATCGAATGTACTGGCTCCAGATCTGGAGAAAGGTCAGTCGAAACTTTGTGATCCTGAAGGCATATACAATGGGGTTTACAGCAGAATTGCCATGGGTTAGAAAGATGGCAATGTACATTATAATCACTGGTATCTTACACGAAGGACAAAAGAATGTAATACAGTTGATAATGTGCAGAGGAAGCCAGCATATTGCAAACAAAAACAGCACCAGAGCCAGAGACTTAGCCAGCTTCAACTCCTTCCCAAAGTACCTGCTTGGGTCCGTGGTATTGACTGATAATGCCTTTTGGTTCAGATGCTTCCGAATGAGATGAAATATTTCCACATAAATCACCAGGATAAGCACAAGAGGTGGTAACACCCAACCAAAGAAGTTGAAGTAGACCATGTAGTCCATGCTGATCACAGTTTCAAAATGACACACGATAATATTGCTTTTGAGACTTGAGTTTACTTCATTGTGAATCACTTGATTGTAATTGTTCCATCCAAACATTGGTATCACCCCAACAATTATGGATATGGTCCAGCACAAAATCACAGCAGCCCCAGCTCGCTTCTGCGTCACAACGCGCTTATAACTGTTGGGAAAAATAGAGGAAAGCAAATAGACAAAGTTAACAAATACTGAGACTTATTACAGCAATTCTACTCTATAGTATAACCTTACACCAATATACTTTGTGTATAGTGTGCAGAGATTTTCTAGAAGAATTCCCAGGGTTTCTCAATAAGGAAACTAAGCTTTCTGAGAATTGGAAAGATCATCACGTCCCATTGCCAGCTCCACAGACAGACAGCAACTGTGGAGCTTGTCAGCCCCACAGACACATTGTGTTCAAATGGATGTTCCCAGAAGTCAGCTCATGACTTCTAACTTCCTTGTCAAGGAATCCAGTTAGACATTGTTGCATGTTTGACTCCTCAAGATCATAAGCTTGGTCTGGATGAAGAAGGCCCTTCAGCCCACCTGATCTCTCAGAACATCTCTCCAGAACAGCCACCCCAACAGCCCCTCATCACTGCATCAAGCTACATTTTAAAATGCGTTAAGTGTCCTGTCCTCTACCACCTTTGTTGGCAACGAGTTCCAGTTGTTGATCTGTGTAGAGAAAAACTTCCTGGCATCTGTCCTGAATTTTTCCCTTTGATCTCTAAACCTATGTCTTATTGTTCTACTGTAATGATACATCTTAAAGTGCATAGATACATCTATTGACTTTTTCAATCCCATTTAACGTTTTATACACTTCTAAGAGGTTCCCTCTGTGAGTTGTCTTCTCTCTCTTGTCTAGTTATTGCTCACAGCTCATTCCTCTACTACTGGGGATCATCCTCATTGCTCTCCTCTGCATTGCCTGTAGGTCCTATGTGCATTATTCAAGGTGCAGCCTGACCAGAACACTGTACAGCCTGAGAATGACATTTTGGGATCTAAACTCAACAATGAAGTTGCATAACCGGCCTCATGAACCCCAGTATTGAGAATGTGAGTGATTGTGATCAATGGTGGAATTAAACCCACGTGGGGTTTATTATTTATTATTAAATCCAGATATTACGCATGCTATGTGTATCAACATAACATGGTAGTGCATTTGCTGCTGTTTAACACCAAATGATTTTTGTGTGAATCTTAATGGCGCAGTGATAATAATAATAATAATCCTTGCATTTGATATAGCGCTTTTCACGTCTTCTGGACGTCTCAAAGCGTTTCACAGAATATACTGTAAAGTGAACTGACTGTATATTTGTGGGTGAAACGCGGCAGCCAATTGAGCACAGCAATGTCCCACAAACAGTCGTGGATTGAAGTGACCAATTTTATTATTTTTTTATCTTGAGGAATTATTATAAGGTGTGTGGAGTAAGGAAACTTGCCCAAGGTTTCACCCTGCTGGGAATATGATACAAATATTGTTGACCCCTATGTACCTACGTGGAGTCCTGTAGCTCAGCGGTTAGAGCACTCACTTTGCAAGCGAGAGACCTGGGTTCGATTCCCAGCAGGAATTATTATTATTATTATTATTATTATTATGTAGGGCCCAGTATACAAGGTCTCCGTCTCAATTTTTGGGAGGTGGTGGGGGTTTCCGTGGAATTCCACCACTGTGTTCAAGAGTATCCAAACTTGTACCACTTGACTGGCACTGTTGCTCTGAGTCAGAAGGTTGTGAGTTCAAATCCCACGTCGGGACTTGAACAAACATAGTCTAAGATAATACTCCAATGCAACAGCAACAAATTAAATTTCGTCTTTCACGTCAGGAGGACATCACAAAGCGCTGGTCTTGGGCAATGCAGCGCTGGGGTTATGTTGCATTGTCGGAGGTGCTATCCTCTGGATGACATGGTAAACCAAAGGTCTGTCTGCCTGTTCACGTGGACATTAAAGATCCCATGGCATTTTTCGAAAAAAGGGAGTTTCTTCTTGTATCCCGGCCAACAATCACCCAAATAAAATTGATTGCTCGCTCCATGGCTGTTTGTGGGACATTGCTGTGTGCAAACTGGCTCGCTGCATTTGGCCACAAAAAAACAGTGACTACACTTTATAGTATATCCTGTGAAGCCGGTTGAGACGTGTCGATGATATGATAAAGACTAAACAAGGAAAAATTATTATTACGAACTAGACAGAGGTCTAAACATGCACGCCATCTACACATGGAAATTCTCACGTTTGGAATGGAATGCTCATTCTCTCCCTGGAGGGGTGCACCTTGCTTATCTAATTCCAGAGAGTAGTAGGTGGGCAAGAGGTACCCAACAGTGTGCACTGAAGTAACCCACCCAATACTGCAAGTTTATCGTTGAGCTTCCCGATGCTGGGACGACTCTTGCCATTAAGGGTTTCAGCTTTGGGGGGGGGGGGGGTTGTATCCCAGCAGGTATTCATGAGAATAAATATGGAATTTGGCTCTGGAACTCTATCCCCCAGTGCCTCCTCCCTTTCCTCCTTCAAGGCCGGTCTCAAGACCTTTCTCTTTGACCGTGCCTTCAGCTCCCCTCTTGACTCTCTACCCCCTCCTCGCTCCCTCCCTTCCCTCCCTCACCCTGACCATTTCCCCCTCCTCGCTCCCTCCCTTCCCTCCCCTCACCCTGACCATTTCCCCCCTGCTCGGGTCCTGACCTAACTGTACAGTGCCTTGGAACGTCCTCCCGACGTGAAAGGCGCTCTATAAATGGAATCTTGTTGTTGTTGTTGTATAGGATAATATATGATATATGGTAAATCTTTAACAAGGAACTGGTTTATTCAGTGAGACACACCTAATTGTTGTAATCTTACATGAAGAAATATGATACATCATTTACATATCAATAGAATGAATAAGCAAATCATAGAATCATAGAATATTACATCACAGAAGGAGGCTATTGTGCCTGTGCCGGCTCTTTGGAAGAACTAACTAATTAGTCCAAATTAGTCCCACTCCCCCGCTCTTTCAAATTTTTCCTCTTCAAGTACCTACTCAATTCCCTTTTGAAAGTTGTCATTGAATCTGTTTCCACTACCCTTTCAGGCAGTGCATTCCAGACCATAACTCTCTGTGTAAAAAAAATTCTGCTAATCTCCCCTCTGGTTCTTTCGCTAATTACCTTGAATCTCTGTCTCCTGGTTAAATAATTTACTTTCCAAAACTTTAATAGATGAATTTAGCCCAATGAACATTAGAAACACAAGATACTATCTGCATGAAGCTGGGAAATTTATGATTTACTGGACTGTAACATTGATTTTGTTTTTCACTGGCATGAATTATTACTTTTCTGGGCCATAAAATTCACTATAACAGGAATGATAATATCACTTTTAAGTAACGCAATAATTCAATCCAATGACCTTAAGAACTATAATTCATAGCTGTAAATGATTGCTTTCGGACATCACAGCTTTCTGCAACTTACCTGAAAAAATGAACCAGGGCATACACACTCCGTCTCACATGAGTACACACATACACTTATCCTTCCACCACACACAGAAACACACGTTGTGCATACCTACACACCCCGAAACTCTGGAAACCTTCGCCTCAATCCTTCCAAACTTTCCCCCTCATTGCACATCTTCAGATCGCATCTGAAGACCTTGTCCTTTCACCTGCAGTCATCTCTCCTCTCTCCCTAGCTCGGCATCAAGCACCGGCACTGTTAAGCGCTCCTAGACCCTACCATTTGAAGGGCGTCTGAATTCAACTAATATCATTATTTATTATTTATTCAGGTGTTTATTATCTCAGATGATATAAATTAATGTGATGATATCCGTATCTCCAACCTTCTCTATAGGATTATAAATGCAAGTCGTTGAATTAATTGTCAAGGATGGAATATGATGAAATTAAAATTTCACAACCAAATGTGAATATCAAACTAGAGTTGTTGCATCAAAGATTTAATTTGAAGTATTTGCTTTATATTTAGAGTGCGCATTAATATGTTAAAGCTCTATCCACTAGCAGTTTAAACAAAACAGAAGAATCATGGTGAAGAATCAGTCAATTGACTTTGCAGTATATTATTCGAGACATCTCGGAGACATGATAAGGCGCTATACCAAATGCAAGGATTATTATTATTATAAGAGAGCTTGGCAAAGATTGTTTATTTGTAACATTTGAATGAGTGATCGAGTCTGCATTAAATGAGCCTCTGAGTAGACAGCCCTACAGAGAGGGTTGGAGATAAAGATATCATCACATTAATTTATCTGAGATAATAAACATGTGAATAAATAATGAATAATAACATTAGTTGAATTCAGATCCCCCTAGTATGATTGGTATTAATACATATATCCATAGCAGCTGAGATTGATAAACACTCACAAAACACAGTCATTGCACTTTACATTTATTCCTGAGAAGTACTTTGAAACATCTTCCCAATGTGAAAGGTGCTGTATCAAATGTAAGGATGATTATTATAAGACTAGTTTTGCTTCTTGGGTAACATTTATTGAATGTCCTCAAAGGGTTAAATGTTTCATTAATGTTACAGATGGTTAACCACGGGACTGCTGAGTGGCGAGAAGCCAAATGGCTTTCTGACAAAAATATCCATCTGAATATTGTAAACGACAAGCACTGGTGCAACCATGCATCGCATCAGTTGCTACTTATTTTCAAGCGATTCAGTCACTGATAAATCATAGAATAACATAACATTACATGCAGGAGTAGGCCATTCGGCCCTTCGAGCCTGCCCCGCCATTCAATCATGGCTGATCTTCTAATCTAACTCCAGCTAATAACCTGACCCTGCCTTATCCCCATATCCCCTAATCCCTTTTGCAAGAAGAAATCCATCTATCTCAGTCTTGAATCATGGACTTATAGAGCCATAGAATCTTACAGCCCAGAAGGAGACCATTTGGCCCATCGTGCCTGTGTCGTCTCTTTGGAAGAGCTGTCCAATAAATCCCCCTCTTACTCTCTTTCCCCATATCCTTGCAAATTTTTCCTCTTCAAGTACCTATCCAATCTCCTTTTGAAAGTTGTTATTGCATCTGTTTCCACCACCCTTTCAGATCCATGCTTTCCAGATAATACCAACTCTCTGTGTAAAA